CCTGTACCTTCCCCATCCCTCAGCCCTCACAGTGCAGCCCCCCAGACCCCTGTGCCTTCTCCATCCCTCAGCCCTCACATTGCAGCCCTCCAGGCCCCTGTACCTTCCCTATCCCTCAGCCCTCACAGTGCAGCCCCCCAGGCGCCTAGGCCTTCCCCATCCCTCAGTCCTCACATCGCAGCCCCCCAGGCGCCTGCACCTTCCCCATCCCTCAGCCCTCAGAGTGCAGCTTCTGGAGCTGCTGTTGGAAGCCAGCCACCATCCCCAAGGTATCGTCCCTACACTGTCATGCACCCGTGGGGCTCTTCACCTTGCCCCACCCCACAGTCCTCCATTCTGGCTAACTCCCCAGGCTTCCCTGCCCGCCCGAGTAGTCCCCGGGCAGTGCCTGGCAGCTCCTACAGACAGAGGTCCCGCAGCAGGGGCCCAGCCTTCCCTCCCGCCTCGCCCAGTGCTGCCAGCAGACGTCCCTTCTCCCTGAGGATCTCTCCTAGGTATTTATTTGCAGGAGAGCTGCGTGTGTGCTTGTAGTGCAGGGAAAAGAAATTAACACGGTTTGGAAAGAACTGCTGTGTGACACTGACCTCAGTGGAATTCTGGGAGTCATTGGTTATTAACCTGTGTCGCTCGCTAGCTGTGGTGGGCATGTGCCCTGCCTCCATGATCCTACCAGGCTGTGATCCACGAGAAAGTGAAGATTGCAGTGCTGTAACGCTCCTTTCTTCCCCTCCTTATCATCACTCTTCCTGTCATCTGCACAAAAAACAAAGAATTGCATTTCTTGTGATCTAGTTCATGGGTCCTACCTCATTACAAATGAACCTCAGAGACTGTGGTCAGTGTTGCGTTTGAGAACTGGGGCTCAGGCTGCCGTTTTGGACTGGTGTCTGCTCTTTCTGTGAGTCCTGCCTTTATGCCTTGATGTCTGATTGCATGTATTTCCAGTCTCTCAGAAAGCAGCAGCACCACGAATCCAGTGCCCCCTTTCTCAAACGTACCTGCGTGTTTCTGTAACTCAGGAGCTGTGTTTCTGCATGTCAGTCAGTAAAGTGTAAAGTTTATTTTAAATGACAGCAATGCAGCAGCGTCTTTCTCCTATCTCGCTTTCCTTTGTTCCCTGATGACCTTTTTTGCTTTTATTGTGGTAGTATGTACGACAATCCTTTCTCCTTCCTCTTCCTCGCACTTTCTGGGGACAGTAGTGATGAAGAAAATGAAGAAGAAGATGATGATCATGATGATGAGGATGATGAAGGTGGTGGTGGTGATGATGATTTTTCTTGTGTCCAGTTTGGGTCCAGGTATCAGCAGAATGGAGTCTTACCCCTGCATGTGCTTTAGGTGCTAAGGAACTAACGTTAGGTAGTGAGGCCTGCTTAGGGCTCTGCTTTGAGTCCACACAGGGTAGCCTTACCTGAGGAAGGCCAGCAGGCATGCACTGAAGTATGAGCTCCTTACACTGGGATGAAGTGATACACTTAAGACAATTTATAGTTGTTGCCCTTGAAAGAGAACATAGCTGAATCATTTGTCCAAAGCAGCCATTAGGGAGGAAATGAGGGCCCTCTGTTTATCCACTGAGAATGTATTCCTGAGTTGGGTTGCACGGATTACAGGTACTGAGGAATAACACTGGGAATTGGGGGGGGGGGGGTGTCCATCCCTTCCAGACCAGGCTCCATCTGGGCAGTCTGGACGAATGTGTAGGGTCACATGTGCAGAGTACCTGGGATTCTCCTTTTTCGTCTGAGTGGGAGTTGCATTGAGCATCTCCTGAGTCTCAGTGAAGCAGTGTCCTGTTTGCTTCAGGGCCCACTGAATGTTAGAGAGTTGAAAACTCTGGGTTTCTAGATGATTTTGAGCCCACAAATACAATGACCCTTTGTTTCTACCCCTCTGACTTATTGTTTTAACAGTTTTGCTCTTCAGCTGTAGTTCCCTCTGGACCCAGTCCGTATTTGTGCCCAGCACAGTTCAAAAATAACTCCAGGCTATAAATAGAGACTGCAGTGGGATCTGGGTGCGCTTCATTAAGTTTGACAGCTCCCGAAGAGAGAAAAGAGTGTCAGGGTTTGTATTAGATTGTACATTTTATTAGCACTTCCCGAGTACATATCCCCAGAGGGGGCTGGTGTCTTTCTCTTGCCCATAAAGGCCTGTGTGAGTATTGTTCCACCACAGACAGCCATAGGGATGGCTTGCCATACATGGTGAAGGTACTTCATCTGTTTTGCCTTAAGTTATCTGTGGGAGAAATATTTTGTTTAATTCTTCCTCTAACAAATCATATGCTGGGTTTACTAGCGTGTCTCTTTCTAGATTCTGCCTGGCATGTGATCTTGCCTGAGACCCAGGTTCTGCACTGAATAGCCACCAGTGCTGACTGTAGAATGACAGGTGCCCAGCATTGTGCCTGTGCTCTCTTTGCTGAGACTTAGACTGAGGAAGGTGGAACCAGAGTTCATGTTCTGCACCTCTGCACTGGACTGTTTTTGGCTCTTGTGTTTTCCTAGTCTCTGCCGCTCTGGTTACCTCACCACTGAGAGTTTGAGCATCTTCTGCTCCTGCTCAGAAGGTGCCAGTGTTTTCAGACTCAGTTACAGCATTACATGTTTATCAGCCAGCTGGCATGAGCTGCTTTTGTTACATTGAGATGAGGTAGTCTAGATTGTCCGTAGATTGCTTTCAGAGTTCAGATAAAGTATGTGAAGATGGTCACAGAGCATTTTAACACAAGCAGATAGAGAACTTGAGACTACATGGAAGTGAGAACAGCAAGAGATAGCAAAAGAACTTGCTCCTTTTTGAGTGGAAAGTGTCTTTCTCCTGCCTCTAAAACCCCATGTGGCTGCAGTTCACACAGCGGACATCCATAGGAATGGCTTGCCACGCATGGTACAAGTGCTTCATGTGTGTTGCTCTGAGCTGTCTCTGGGGTAACATCACGTAGCTGAGGATGTCCTGTGACTCACTCCTGCTGCTGTGGTGTTGGGATTGTTAGCCAGAGCAGTAAGGCAACAAACAGGTAAATGGGTTATGAATAAGGAAGGGAAAAGTTAGGTTATTTTTTTCTTTGTTTTTCTTTAAATAGGGTTTCACTGTGTAGCCCTGGCTATCCTAGAACTCACTCTGTAGACCAGGCTAGCCTCAAACTCAGAGATTTGCCTGCCTCTGCCTGCTGAGATTAAAGGCATCCAACACTAAGTGAAGTCAGATTATTTTATGTGCAGGAGATGTAGATTTATTTTGTTCTATAAGTAGGGGGGTGGTGTCTGCATTTGTGTCAGTGTACCACATTGGTGCCTGGCACCCTTGGGTCCTCTGGGGCTGGCATTACAGATAATTGTTAACTGACATGTGGGTGCTGGGAATTGAACTCAGGTCCTCTGGAAAAGCAGCTAGTATTCTTAATCTCTGTGCTATTTCTCCAGCCTCATTCTGTAGCTTTTTGAAACTATATTTAATTATTATTTTATATACATACGTATGTGCCTGAGTGGTATGTATGTGTACTTATAAGCATGTAGGTGCCCTGGGAGGCTAGAAGAGGGTGTTGGATGCCCTGGAACTATAGTTCCAGATGGTTGTGAGCAGCCACGTGGGTGCTAGGAACCATACCTGGATACTCTGCAAGAGCAGCAAATGACGTTAACCATTGAGCCATCCCTCCATCTCTGTAGTCCACATTAAAAGACCCTCCCAGAAAACTCTGAGCGCTAATAACACTGTGAGCCACATGGCAGGATGCAGGGAAACAGGCTGTTTTTCTGTGTAACAGAATGATCACATTAAGACCTGGCAAGCAATCCCTCACAGTAGCTTACTAAGAATCAGACCACCTCGGGTAAAGCTAGCCTCTCAGCTGAAGACTTCTCTGCTCAAAACTTAAGAGACACTGGTTGTTGGAGGTCAGCAGAGTCCATGACGTGGAGGTTCTTTGATGCTTGCAGATGATTGTCTTAACTGAAGTGAGCCAGGCCCAGACAGACAAATAGCAGATGTTTTCCTCGTGTGCGGAATCTGGACCCCTGGCTGGGGGCGCTCAGGGTTAGGAGCACACACTACTCTTGCAGAGGGCCGGCTTGCCGATTTGAGTTTGAGTTTGATCCCGGTACTCGCTCACACAGTGGCCTTCTGCAGATTTTCTTCCGACACCCACCCTTGTGCAGCTTCACATGCACACACACTCACATGCACACACGTGCTCACACAGATGTACACATTAAATGAATGTGTACTGTGTCATGTGCGCACAACTGTGTACACAAAGTGCACATGAAATGAATAAGTGTGATTTTGAAATAAAGGGACAAAGGGGCGGTCAAGGAAAACGTCTCCTCTGGAGAGAACTGCTTCTCTTGAGGAAGAGACGGAGGGAAGGCGTTCCCTGGGATTTAGATATCACAAGGAAGGCGTCCTAACTCTTTCTTGGTAACTTGGTGTCTAGGAGATAGTGAGTGGTGTTTTATTTTGTATTTGACCTTGTTTGCTTTTCTGACCGCTGGCCATCCCAGTGAAGGTCATGCGTGGAGAAGGCAAACAGATAGGTGGTGTGCACACCGCGGCTCCCATTAGGGGCAGAGCAGGAAGACGGGGCAGGACGGTCGGTCTCCCGAGAGACCCGGGGGTCTGGACGATGACGTGCTCTGCACTCGCTGTCCGCAGCGCTCGGAGGCCTCGTGGTCCCACAGAGCTGTGTGGCTGCTGCTAGCTTTCCTCAAGCATGGGCCTCTGTGCCATCTCTTCAGACACTGGTATCTGACCTCAGTGTGTTAAACATTAGAAACACAGTCAACGCCTGCCTGCTTGTGCGAATGTATGGTCCACACAGCTGCCCAAGTGCTGCCCCGCACCCAGATCTGTGCTTTTGTTCGCCGTGTCCCACTTACAGGTTGATTTGTTTTTGGTTGTCCAGTGTTAGAGGCTAACCGCTGTGGGCCGTGGCGTTTGCTGTAGAGCCCTAGGACCACTGGCTGGGCCAGTGCACATGGCTGACCGACCCTGTTGGCTTGAACTTGATGAACCCTGTGCCCTAGCTTGAGGAAGTCCAACATTCCAAGGTCTAGAGTTAAAAGCATGGAGAGTGGGAGGCCTGGGCAGCAGCTGAGGCAGCAGAGTGCGTGCAAGAGAGCCTGGGCTTGAACCCTAGCTCCACTTCAAAAACTTGGTGTGGCACATGTGTGTGATTCGAGCACTGGGGAGGAATGCACAGGAGCATCTCCCTGGGTTCCTGTTTATTCATCCAGTGTAGTCAGTGAGCTCCAGGTCAGCGAGAGTCTGTCTCAAGACACAAAGTGGACAGCTCCTGAGGGAAGAGCACTCAGTGGTGAACACTCGTGCAAACACACACACACCCACATGCGTGTGTGCGAGCACACATGGCTTGTTAAATGGAAAAGTGATGATTTCCATCAGAGAAGAAAACAGTGGAGCCGTTAAGAAGCAGGAGTGTTGTGCATTTGAGGGGTAATTCAGTCTGCCTGGGATGAGCCTCGTGTTATTTTTCGAATGGTCCCTTTGTTTTGGATATTTGGCTTGTTCCTGTTAAGTGAGGTAGTCAGTCACCTTAGAACTTGGACTGTTGGTATAGTTAGTGGAAAATGGCTTACATTTTCTTAGATGGTAGCATAAAAGTATTTAACCTGTTCTTGGGACTTCAGTGTGAAACATTTCCAGGATTTTGAGAATGGCAGAGTTCTGGAGGTGTCGCAAATCACCCCCTTTGAGTAATAAAAATCTGCTGTGTAGTTGTTGCTGGTTCCCAACTCCTAGATGCCATCCTTTCTTTTCCTCAGCCTCCCAAGCAGCCAGGGTGAAGGTCCAGACCACTGCCGCTGGCAAATGAGCACAGGCCACTCCCCTCTCCATGCTGCATTCACACTGGGCGTGCACTGAGAATCCACAGTCGTTTGACTTAGCGTCGATGAGTGTGGCCCTCCCAAGATTGAGATCATGCTTTCCTTTGGCATCTTGAATATCGCACTGATGGATACGGGGCTTTCTATTTCTGTGTTGGGTTAAGGGTTTTTCTCTCCTTTATCTCCTTTCTTCTGATGAAGTCAGATGATTGTTTGTTGTCCGTGCATGGAACATCTCTTAGTTTTGAGAATTCCTTGCTGTTTTTCTAGGTCCTTTGTGTTGTCTAGCATGTGATAGATGGACTTCTATGTGCTCTGTCATAGGGTCTTGCTATGTGACTAGGTTGAGCTCACCTAGTCCATCTGTACCACCTGTGTAAGGATTACAGGTGTATGCCAGTGTGCCAGTGTCCCTACCCCTGTTTACATTCTGTGGAACACTTACAAGATTGTTGGAAGTGACAGTGATTGTTACATGGAGTGTGTTGCTGAGAGGGCTTGTAACATCGGCCACAGCCACATGAGCCAGCACCCAGCAGGCTGCATTCCTCAGGCCCATGCTAGCCTGGTGTCCCATCACACTCGCTCCCTGCAGCTGGGAAGAAGCTATTGACATCAAAAGCATTTGAATGTGGGCTTATCAGGAAAATAGTTTAAAGTTTTCATTTTAAACCCCAGGTTTTCATTTTAAAAGCCACTGACACCTGTGAGAGCTGTGCAAGGAAAATTACTATAAATTACACATAGGTGTAGGGCTGGATTAGCAAAGCCCGTCAAGTAAACTCAGATGTCTGTGGATCTGGCAGGGTTCCTCGATAACTTCCCAAGACTTGCTGCACTCAGCACACTTGTGGTTTTTATCTGTTGCTTTTTGCTTTGTCACATAGTTCATGCTTCTGTAGTCTAGCCAGTTAGGACCTACCTGAGTAATGGCTTACCATGAGTAAGCCATTAATGAGTAAGGCACACCCAAACACTCACTGCTGCCATGAGAATGAATTTCCTCTGCTTCAGTGAAGCCAAGGCTGCCTTGCCCGGCGTTGTCCTGGGTCTCAGAGGCTCTCTGCATACTGGAGGCCTGCCCGTTTGTCTGGCGTTCCCCTTAGCATCCATCCTTCCTTCCTTTAAGAGTTTTTATCAGACAGGAATATAGATTGTAGTGACGTTTGTTAGGCTCTGGCCTGAAAGCCTTGCCTTTGTAGTGCTGTTCTCTGCACTGAGGTGTTTCCATGCAGCTCCCGTTCTCAGATCAGCTGTGTGCATTTCCCCAAATGTGTATATTTTCCAAAATTAGTTATGCATGCCTCTCTGAGTGCATAGCTATTGTTGCTGCCTCAATTCTTGTTGGGCCATTTAATTTCTATGCTCTGTCTGTGTGGGGTTGAAGGAGAAACATGTCTGGCAGGGTCCTGGTGTTCTTCCCATATTTATCATCTTGTATATTTTCCCTAACTTTTCCCTTTTATTGTAGAATTTCTTGCTTCTTCCTCTGTGTTAATCTCTTTGTGATTTTTGTGCTAAATGTAAACACAGAAATCAGTGTGGTAATGAAACACCCAGTTTGGTTTGTAATGGGTTGAGGTTAACCTCCACTTTGTTCAGTATGCTTGGACCTCACCATTGTGATGTTTGGCCTTTGGGTGGGACTAGTTAGTACAAGTAGTACCATCGTTCCACAGCGCCCCCGGCAGGCGTGGTAGGGTTCTGGTTAGGGTTAACAAGCTATCCTGGGACTACACCCCGTCAGCTTACTCCTCGCACAGGATTTTTGTTTTCAGTGTTCTACTTCTCCTTGTTCACTGAAAGTTTTGAAAATTCAATAGCAAAAACTTTCCTATCTCCTTCCAAGTTGTTTTCTGTAAGTTCTGGCCTGTTGTCAATGCTGATTGAGGTCTCTTGAGATCTGTGTGGACACCCTGCGTCCTAGCAGTCGCCTATAGCGTCTCCTGGAGGCGTAGATTAAAGCAGTATCTGGCCGCTCATGTCTGCCCAAGTGATGCCGCCCGGTTTGGCACATGAACCTGTGGTTGACTCCAGCTGCCCAACACTCAGCCGCGGTTCCTAGCTCCTCTGGTTGGTAACTTGCCATCCGCAGAAAGGCCAGTTCCCTTGACAGGTTAGAACATGTTTAACAGAGAGCACTGGTTGGCCTGGGAGCAGACAAAACAGCGGTGAGCTCCATTCTGGCTGCATGGTGTTTTGTGCTTCATCATGGATGCAGGGCTCCTAACAGGCTTCTGCTGCAGAGTGCAAGCTTCTCCCTAGAGATGGTCATGAGGAGGTAAGCAATTGGCAATGTTTTTTCTCTTCTCCAAAGTTTGGGAGCCTCTGGTGGAGCAAGTAACTGGGATTCGTACAGTGATCACTTCACCATTGAAACCTGCAAGGAGACTGATATGCTGAACTACCTCATTGAGTGTTTTGACAGAGTTGGAATAGAGGAAAAAAAAGCACCAAAGGTACCGTGAACTGGGTTTACCAGAAAGCAAACCCTGGTTGTGCATGTGCTAATCCATGGCCTGGGAGCAGCTCTTCATTGGTTAGTCAGTAGTTGTAGAACAGCTGTTAGATGCTGGAGCTTAAGCCCTGTCCTTGACAACAGAATCCAGCCCTTATAGAACTCACGTCACCATGGAGAGAGAGTGCCGGAGCTCAGCCGTGAGTCTGGGTGCCTTGGCTACTCTCCTTTGGCTACGTGGTCCCAGTGATTGCTGATTGCATCAGTTTCCCATGGCTAGGGCATGACATACAGGAGGCCCAAAGGAGGAAAGGTGTACTGTGCTCACAGATATTTAAATTCACTGTTTTTGGGAGGTGGTGAACATCGTGGTGCACAGGTGTGGTAGCACCAAGTTGCTGTTGTCATAGTGTCCAGGAAGCATGGAAAATGAGCTATACTGCTCAGTCACACTCTGTTCGACCTGCTTCCTTTTATGAGGCCTTACCTGCCAGTTCTGCTGTGTCAGTCAGTGCATTGCTGAAACCAGAGCCATAGCCCTGTTGACCCCCTTACCTCTCAGAAACACCCATCAGCCGGCAGCCAAGCCAATAACATAGGAAGCGTTCGGGGACATATTTAAATCGAAACAGTAATGGCCAGTTGCCTGAGGTGGTAGTTGTGAAGACATCTGGCATTAAAGAGCACCAGTGCTATGGGCTGCAGGGACCTAGCAGTCGGTGAGCTTGGGTTTTCACAGCTGCCTGGCCAGCCCTGTGTGTGTAAGCGACGGCCGCAGGGATGAGGCTGTCATTGCACAGAGTTATTAAATAACAAGTGCAGGGCCAGGCCAACCCAAGGAAGCCCTGCTCCCAGGCCAACCCAAGGAAGCCCTGCTCCCAGGCCAACCCAAGGAAGCCCTGCTCCCAGGCCAACCCAAGGAAGCCCTGCTCCCCAGCCCCCTTTGAGACAGAGTCTCACTCTGTAGCCTTGGCTGGCCTTGAACTCACTTGCCCCTGGCAGCTGGGATCAGGACAGGCACCACCACACCCAGCACCTTCTGCTGTCTCCTTCCCTGTCTTGTCACTGGCATTTCATGTCTAATTCTCGGCTGACTTTAGAAACGGATTGCCCGTGTTAGTTTCAAACTTGTGGGTCCTCTTCAGAGATTGTTGTCCTTAATTTTAACAAAAGCAACGAAATGCTGGGTGTGGTGGTACACACTTACCATCTCTGCACTCTGGGAGTCTGGGACAGGAGGATTCCTGTGAGTTTGAAGCCAACCTGGGCTAGTATGTGAAAACCTCTGTCTCACAGTATGATATAACTCCCCCAAAAGGAAATAGAGTAAGTGTGCCCCGCGGCTCAGCTCTGTCTTCTGACTGACCTCGGTACAGGTGGTGACACATTTGCTGTGCTTTTTCCATTATGAGCATAGGGAGAGGAAAGCAGGCCATTTTCTAGCCATTGCTCTCCTCCCGTTCTTTGCCTTTTTGTTACCCTGTTGCCTCTCTCCTCTAGATGTGCAGCCAGCCAGCAGTCAGCCAGCTTCTGAGCAACATCCGCTCACAGTGCATTTCCCACACCGCACTAGTGCTGCAAGGCTCCCTCACGCAGCCCAGGTACGTGGACACTTGCGTTGTTGTGTTTCTGCTGGTGCTGGGGAGGGCCGTGTGCCAGCTGGTTGGCGACACGGTGATGGCCCTGTAACCCAACCTGTACAGTCGTCAGAGCTCAGGCTGGAGAGAGCTCAGAGGCTAAGAGTGCTAGCTGCTCTTGCTGAGGACTTGGTTTGACTCCCAGCATCTACATGGTGGCTCATGGTATCTACCTCAGCTCCAAGAGAGCTGAAGCCCTCTTAGGACACTGCATACATGTGGTATGTTACAGAGTCGCAGTGCAGGAGAAGCATTCTTACATAAGATAAATACATCCAAGGACATAGGTGTCTTTAGGAGTAACGATGCCCTTGCCTCCTGAATACTGTGGAAATAAAATGTTTTCTTCATCTTCTGAATACATATTTTTTTTAAAGTTTTGTTTTAAGAGTTCTGCGTACTTCTTGAAATATGTAGACCCAAGGCAGAATATTAGCAATTTAATGTAAAACCTAGTGTTTGAAAATAGTAGATGTTTGTGACAAAGTACTTAGGTTCCATGTGTCTCCACATTAACTTCTGTTACTAGGCATTAGAGAATAGTTGGGGGAAACCAGGTGAAAATAATTGGAAGTTGGCCAAAGTGCCACAGTTTACCTGTTTCAGAAAACTTTGTATAGCCTTTAAGGTTAATGAAAGATTGCATATTTCATTAAAAAATTTTGGGAGCGGGGGAGATGGTACAGTCCTTTAATTTCAGCTCTCGGGGAGGCAGAGGCCGATGGATCTTTGTGAGTTTGATCCAGCCTGGTCTACACAGTGAGTTCTCAGACAGCCAAGGCTACACAGAGAAACCCTGTCTCAAAAAAACAAAAACAAGACAAAACAATTTTATTTTATATGTATGGGTGTTTTCCCTGCTTGTGTGTCTATATCACGTGCATGCCTGGTAGCCATACAGGCCAGAAGAGGGCATCCCCAGAACTGGAGTTGCAGAGAGTTGTTAACCTCTATGTGGGTGCTGGGAATTGAACCTAGGTCCTTTGCAAGAGCAGGCAGTGCTCTTAACTACTGACATCACATTCCCCCAGCCCTATATTTCATGTCTTTCATGGGAAAAAAAAAAAAAATAGCTAAAGGAAAAATGGGGAAAAAATGGATATTTTTTTTCGTTCTGGTTATTGCCTGTACTATGACCATATATTTCTATAATCTTTTTAAAGTGAAGGAAGACTAGGCTGTATAGTGCCACATGTCTGTAATCCCAGAATTTGGGACGTTGAGGCAGGATTGCTGAGTTGTTTGAAGCCTCTTTAGGCTTCATAGCCAAACCTTGTCTTTAAGCTCCAAGTAACAAAGCAGGATGTGTTGGCGCGAAGGCAGGGGCAGGGAGCGCTCTGGATTCACTGGGAAGGCAGGGGCAGGGAGCGCTCTGGATTCAACGCCAGGCTTAAAAAGTGAGTTCAGGACAGCCAGGGCTGCGCAGAAACACTTTTTTGTTTGTTTGTTTGTTTTAAAGACAGGGTTTCACTGTGTGGCTCTGGCTGTCCTGGTGGAGCTCACTGTGTAGACCAAGCTAGCCTCGAACTCACAGAGATATATCTGCCTCTGCCTCTTGAGTGCTGGAATTAAAGGCATGCACCCCACCACCAGGTGAAAAACCTTATCTTGAAAAAGTAAACCAAATCAGAAAAACCATAAAACCAAGTAACAAAAGAAAAAGAGTTTGAAAAAGATTACAACTAATCTTTTTTTTTTTCCTCAGTGTGCATTAGACATAAACCAATAAATAAAACAAATTATTCTTTTTATTATGTAAAAAAATTTAGAAACTTAGGTGTGTGGGCATATTGCCTGTGTGTGTCGGGGGAGAGTGGAACCACACACATGCCATATGCTTTCGTAGCTCTTGGAGGTCAGAAAAAAGTGTTAGATCTCCTGGAACTGGCATTTAAAACAGTGGGGAGCTCCCACATGGGTGCTGGGAACCAAACAGGTCCTCTGCAAGGGCAGCCAGTGCTCTTAAGTACCAGGCCTTCTCTCTGGTCCCCAAAATTTATTTTTACATGCATTTATTATTTATTTTCCATTGCTGGGGCTTTTGTGCTTCTAGACAAGTGCTCTATCACTGAAGTACTCCCAGTCTTAAAGCATCATTCAGAAAGATCAGTTGTCTTTGCAGTTTCCACTCATGTCTCATTTAAAGGCCAGATGTCACCAGTGTTAGCAGTGGTCACGCTTTGCATAAGTAATGCTTGTGCAGAGCGTTTGGTGGCTTTTGTGTGTATGTGACTGGGTGGGCTGTGTGGCCATGACATTCCACTGCTGCCGTCACAGCCGTTGCTTTTTCTTCAGGTCCTTGCAGCAGCCATCCTTCCTTGTACCGTATATGCTCTGCAGGAATCTCCCGTACGGCTTCATCCAAGAGCTCGTGAGGACCACTCACCAGGATGAAGAGGTGTTCAAGCAGGTAAGGTTGGGCCAGTTAATACTCCAGCTTTTTGCTAACTGTCTTCATGCTGTCCGGATACACTGTGTCACAGGGTAAGGGAGGAACTCTGGCAGCCCCAGCCCTCCCTTGTTGTTAGCAGCAGCTGGGGGCTGGAAAGATACTGTCTGCAGTGATACAGCCACTGGTACAGGTGAGCATGCTCCAGTGGACAGCCTCTTACCCACGTTTCTGCAGCAGCCCCTAAGTAAACTCAGTGGGTCACAAGAAAGTGAAAGAAAGTGAAGGAGGTGGCGTGAACTCCGTTGCAGCTGCAGCACAGATAGGTCTTGTGGATCACAGGGAGCTGGTGCTCTCTCGGGCTAGCTGGCCTGAATGCCTTGTCTTTCCTGTGTCACTACAAGTTTCCTTTGGAGAGACATGCTGAAGGAATCAGCTGCTGAGTCTAGACCTCATCTTACCTTTTTACGTAAATGTGCCAAATATGACTTCCCGAGTCCTTGACTGAAATTTCCACTTCCTTTAATGTTTGAGTGATGTTGCCAAAAAACAAGCAGGAATAAATGGCAGCTTCAATGTAAGACTGAAGCTCTTATCTGCACTGGGAGGTTACTTAACTCAGAAATAAAGAATTGTTTGCAGTGTGCAGGTCACAGAAATATTAAGATGCAAGCTGTCTCAGTGTGCACAAGTGCTTGCCGCACAGGCCGCATGGCTGCCTGAGCTCTGCCCTCCAACCTTCGTATTCATATTCATTCACACATACCCGTTTATACACACATAATGCAAACACGAGATTAAATTAAAAAAATATACTTGATGATGGGAAACTTTTTGTGCTTATTCATATTTGGCCTGTTTATTATTACTTAAGCTCTTATTTGCATAAGAGAATAATATCACTAAAAAGAGTAAAACCAAAGTATTACTTATAACACATTAAAACTCATTCCGATGGACAGGTAATGGCATTTATCCGTGTGATTCTAGTGTGATTCTAGAACTTGTTCGCATTCCTGATTGCAGTTTGGCGTCTCCTGCCCCCATGTTGAGTGTTACTCCCCATTTTCAGCCTGCTTGTGAAAGCACAAATTACTTCCACCCTCATTACTCGGGTTATGAAGCCAGGATGATCTCCAGAGCTGTGCTGTGTTGATACCTTAAAATGCTGTGGAGGCACGGGGAATCCTGTGTCCTCTCTTGTGCTCAGAGTTCTCCGGCCTGTGGGATTGGTCCAGGTTTCTAGTGGCTTCATACCTTGCTCCCGTTGCAGCTGTGGCTCACGTTGCCAGCTGCCGCGTACTTTCCCCTTGATGTTGCGGGTCTTGGATGCTAGCCCACTCTTAATCCTGTGGCTCAGTGAGAGGACACTGTGTGGAGGTGTGCTGGCCTTAGCAGGGCTGGCACGGTGTTACCACGGTGCCAGCCTCGCATATTTGCATGCCCTGCAGTTTCTTGGTCTGGTGGCCATATTAATTACACCGTATGTGAAGGTAAAACATTCTTACTAAAAACATTATTTTCAGTTTGAGTATCCATTACTGTCTCCTTGCTCTCAACTAAGTTGAATGGAACAAACAGAAGAAAACCATTTTCTTGAGTATTGGTGGGTTTGAGGAGGGTGTGGAACACTCAGTGTAATTTTCTTATGCATCGTAGGTGTGTGTTAATGAGCAGCGCAGCGCAGTGCAGAGTGAGGCAGAACCCTGCACAGCCCGGGGCAGCCCTGTGTGTGCTGGCTGCTGCTGGGTGTTGGTGCTCTCAGCATCCTTATCTGGAATGCTGAGCTCCATTCCTTTATACTTAGTCGACTTGAGGGACCAGTCAACATTCAAGAATGTGGAATTCCTTCTCTGGAGGACAAAAAAAAGTTTCTCTTCAGGTTGGGGAGAGCAGGGCTGCCTGGACCTAGGGACTCAGAGGCTTGTCTGGCATGCTTCACTTCCCTAAACCTAATGTTTGTGCTTTTCCTTCTCTTACAGATCTTTATCCCCATTTTACAAGGCCTGGCTCTTGCTGCCAAAGAGTGTTCCCTCGATAGCGACTACTTTAAATACCCCCTCATGGTAAAGTCTTGCTCCTTTTTCTTTAAAAGATGCTTGAGTAGATGTTTCTCTTTCAGATCTGTGTTCAACCTTGTTTTCCGTTTTTGTTTGTTTGTTTGTTTGTTTGAGACGGGGTCTCATGCCTTTCAGGCTGAAGATGACCCTTGACATAGGATCCTCCTGCTTCTACCTTTCAAGTGCTGAAATTCCAGGTGTAGATGTAAAACCTGAGTGCTTGTGGAGGCCGGGTTGAGTGTGGCTGTGTCCTGAGCCACCTGAGTGCGTTGGCAGCCTTCTATACAGCACCGCTGCCAGTCCTACACAGCTGTGTGTGAGGCACTGGTTCAGATATGTTTTGCCACACTGGGCCGCTAGCACAAAGGACTGTTGGGGCCATCTTGCTAATTTTTAGAATAGCAAACAAACAAAAGGTTGGTGAGATCTCCTCTGATTTGTACATGCATTCTGTGCCCCCTCCCACGTACACAGTAATAATAAGTGGAAAGACGTGATCGAATTGGGGCTGGTGAGATAGCTCAGCAGACAAGAATGTTGGCTACTATTCTGCAGAACTGAAGTTTGGTCTGCAGAACTGCCGATGTCTCCAACTCCAGGGCATTTGCCCCCGCCTGGCGTACACACGCACCTGCACTCAGCAGGCATGTACATACACATACACAAATAAAAATAAAATGAATCTTAAAAAAATCTGTAACGAAGTCATTTTAATACCTTCTTATGTAGCCCAAGGTGGCTTTGTACCAGGGCCCTCCTTCAGTCTCCTGAGTGCTAAGATTGCTGCTTTGTGCTGTCATGCCTGACTGGGACAAAATCTTTTCATTGGGCCAGAGAGATGGCTCAGCAGGTTAAAATACTTGCCACACAAGCTTATGACCTGCGTGTGCTTCCTGTGAGTCCACATAAAAAGACAGGTGTTGTGCTGGCTCACGTTTGTTGTCCCCGTATATCTAGGGCAACGTAAGGGCCAGGTACAGGATAATGGGCTGCAAGCTCGTGGGCTGGCATCAGCAAAACAGTAGCAGAAGTAGGAGATTCTGCCCCAAAACAGGGTGGAAGGCAATAAGCAACTGCTGAAAAGTTTCATTCTGACTTCCAAATATGGGCTGTGGCATGTGTGTGCCTGCTTGTGTGCGCATGCGAGCATCTACACGTGTGCGCGCATGCACACACACGCTACGTGAGCGATATTTTTAAATGTAATAATTGTTAGCAGAGGCTGGGGGCTGATTTAGTAATTAAAGTAGTTTCCCGGTAAGCAGGAAGACTGGACCTGTTGTTCCATCCTTGAGAGGTGGAGACAGAGGATCCCTGGACCAGCCTAGCTAGAGGCTAGCTGTTGTCAAGAGCTGGGAGTGTGATGGAGCCGTGCTGCTTCAGTGAGACTAGGATGAAAGATTGAGTAAGCTTTACAGCATCAGTCCATCCTTCCCCTATGAATACACGTGTGTATCACACATGCAGTTACCGTATATAAAAATAATTACACCTATATAAAAGTAATTACTCTGGTAAGATCGAAGGGCAATGTTGTTCCCTGTGGAGTACTATAGTAAGAGTCTTCAGCCATGTTCTTACCAAGGACTCTACTGTTGTAAAACTGTGCTGTGCCTATGAGAGGCGTGGCCCACAACTGAATCCCTCGTTCAGCAGGCAGCGGCACGTGGACCACTGTGAGTCTGAGGCCAGCCTCGTCTACAAAGTGAATTCCAGAGCAAGCAGAGCTCTGTAGTGAGAGCCTATCTCAAAATATGAAAAACCAAAAATAAACAACAACAACAAAAATGGGAGGCTCATTTCTGTTTGGAATTTGCTTCTTTGAAATTTTGGGAGATGAAAGCCTTCAGGTATTTCTATTTGTTGTAAGATTATACCAGGAAAAATGTCAAAACCTGGAACACATTCACTCCATGTATGCTTACAGCTTTGTATAGATTTAGGCCATAAAGAAAGTGAAACTTCAAATTACATTTGTTTCTTCACTCGTTCTATTGATTTAATTTCATTATGTTGGTAACTCATTGTTTCCTGGGGGTGTGCCCTGTACCTCGCCCCAGGTCACAGGCGCTCCTAGGACAAACTCTCTTCCCTTAGGGTGTTCATAATTTGGGGGAGAAAGTTGCACTGTAGCAAAACCTCCTCACAGTTCTACTGTGACCAATGCTTAGACAGGTGACAAAAGGTCCACTGTTAGAAAAATCAACATCTCAAAAAGCCAAAAGCAAACATAAATGGGCACTGACGGTGCACACCTTTAATCCCAGTGCTCGGGAGGCAGAGGCAGGGATCTCTGAGTTCAAGGCCAGCCTAGTCTACAGAGCAAGTTCCAGGACAGCCAGATCTACACAGAGAAACCCTGTCTTAAAAAACAAATAAACGGAAAAATAAAAACTGTCATGTCATTAACAAGGTAAAGTTCATAGCAACACTGGCGACGAGAGGCAGCTTGAGCCGGGTGTGCTGGCTCACAGTGACCCTGGCTGTTGGAAATCTGAGGCAAGAAAGTGAGTCATGAATTGAAGGCCAGCCTTGGCTACAGAGTGAAAAATGTTTAAAAACAAAACATAAAGTCAGGTATATTAGTGCACCTGTGAACCTCTAGCAGAGCAGGAGGGTCAGGAGCTCAAGGTCACCAACATCTACAGAGTGTGTGAGGTCATCCTGGGTACTTGAAGTCCTGCCAGAGCCTGCTGTGCTGTGGCTCAGCAGGGAGGCAGGGTGGGACCTCACAGTAAGTCCCAGACAAGCCTGGGCTACACAGTAGGAGCCTAGACAAGATGGATGGATGGATGGATGGATGGATGGATGGATGGATGGATGGAT